GTATGAAATAATTCAGTCTACTTTGTAGCAAGTCTTTACTCACTGATAATGTATGAAATAATTCAGATTACTTTGTAGCAAGTCTTCACTCACTGATAATGTATGAAATATTTCAGTTGAGTCTACTTTGCAGCAAGTCTTCATTCACTGATAATGTATGAAATAATTTAGTTTATTTTGTAGCAAGTCTTCACTCACTGATAATGTACGAAATAATTGAGTTTACTTTGTAGTAAGTCTTCATTCACTGATAATGTATGAAATAATTCAGTTTAGTCTACTTTGTAGCAAGTCTTTACTCACTGATAATGTATGAAATATTTCAGTTTGCACATTTGTAGAATCACATAAATGAATATCAGGTTTTTAAGGTAAATATTTCTATATTTTATTATCTATTTTCTCTACCATATCACTAACTAGTTATCATCATCAACATATAGTGCAATTAAATGTTTAAAATTAACAAATAGAAATATCTACATACCTTTCAACTCTTCATAGAAATCCACTAGAATAGTCATGTTTTTCTTATGTGCGTAATTTCACGTCTTTATCTTTTCACTTACAGTATATTTTTAATTTTCCTTTCAAATTCTTCTTCTACTATCATTTATCCCATACATCAACTGATAGCCACGAGTCTTTATGAGGGTATTTCGGCAGACTCCCCACAGACTCACATTGCCAAAACCAGATGGCACATGTAAATGCCATCTTGTTTATATCCTTTCACAATGCAGGTGGCTAGTTAAACTTATGAAAATCATTAAACCATTGAAATATGTATTTTAAAACAAAAATAATACATATTTTACTAAAATATAAAAGCAAGACCTAAATACAGTTTAACTGTAAGTGCTATAGTTGATCAAGCAGACAACAATACGAATGGCAGTTACATGAACACTGTCAGCCAGTGAATACTGGAAGTTGGTTGAGTATAGTATAAATAGAGCTCTTTCTAACGACTATATACACTTGTGTCAACTAACTATATGTACATTGTAGATCTTAAGGCAAAGTATAGAAGGAGGGAGTGGCAAACATCAAGGGATGCAAAATTTATTTCCGTTTCCCAGTGAATACAGTTATGGGACTTTGGATGTCATGTACCTAGCATCTACATACTCATGTACATTGCCAGCTTATGTTGCTAAGAGTGAACCACTGCTAAAGGCAAGATTTTCAAAGCTTGTGGATCACGTGACAAGAAAACTGCAGTTTAGCTACAGCAATGATGCTGTTTTTAAACCCTGTTAACCCTCGGTCTGCATGTTACTGAGTTACATTCTAAATTCAGTGAAACCACTTTACTGTAAATGTAGTTTAATTAAATTATTATCAAGTACATTATAATTTAAAGTTTTATATTATCTAAGTTTATTCCTTTATTTTAAAGAGAAACACTTAAAACACGATCTGCTCACTGTTACAGTTCTCAAGTTTAAGAGCTCTTATAGAAGACACTGCCTACTAGAAATTCTAGTAATGCAGAAAGATAGCCATATTCTATGTATTCAAAGCATCCACATTGCTTTACTTGAAGGCCTGGTGGTTAGGGCTTTTGACTCGCAATTTGAAGGTCATTGGTTCGAATCCCTGTCACACCAAACATGCTCATCCTTTCATCTGCAAGGATGTTATAATGTGACAATCAATTCCACTATTCATTGGTAAAAGAGTAGTCCAAGAGTTGGCATCTGGATTCAACATAAGCTTATGTTACAGATAACACGTTTAAGTTAAATGGCATGCATATAACCAATAGAAAGAGCAAATTTCCCGATATTAAGTTATAGAAACCTCTAGGAGTGTGGATCTGTAGTAGGAGATAGAAAAGAAGCTTAATCAATTGTTCTCTCTAAGGGTACATAGTGCTTGGCAAGTGTTTTTCACCTTATATGTATTTGTTTAGTTTAGATTTCATTCAGGTTTTATGTTTATATCTTAATTTATTATGTATTATTTATGTTTTAAAATGCATATTTGAAAGGTATATAATTTCTATACATTTAACTTGTGATGACTTAACTTGTGAAAATGTCCTAGTAAGATGGCATCATTCGCATGTACGAGTGTTTGTGAGAGAATTTAATGAGTGTTGCCCTATAATAACAATAGAGCACCATGAGCACACTTTGGCATACTGGTATCAAGAATAAAAGACAAATAATTGGAAAGGAAAATTAAAAATAAACTAAGTGAAAAGTTAAAGACATGAATTTATGAGTATTAAAAAAAAAGTAGCAAAATACTTCTATAAAGAGCTAAAAGGTATATATATATATCCACTTCTTAATTTTAAACATTTCATTGCACTGTACGTTGATGATAATAACTAGAAAAAAAAATATATAAAAATTTAACTTAAAAACTTGGAAGGTTCTAGAGATTATGCAAATGAAATGTGAAAACTGTAAAATAAGAAATAGTATTTTTAAACTTAACACCTTGCAGGTGAACTATTCAGAGTCCAAGTGCAAATAACTACATTCAGTGACGAATGTTTTATTACAGATAATAGAAAAAATCAAAATTAAATATCTTATTTTTCAGAAACTAGATACTTTTAGGACCTTCATGTCAAATTTAAAACAACTTCATCCATTAGTTTCATTTTTGTAAAAAACTTTCACTAGAGTTACATACTTACACATCTCATACAAAGTAAGTATGTAACTCTAGTGATAGTAAGTAGGTTTTCATCACAGAGTTAAGTATTTTTTTGAGAGGTTTCCTTTAAAACAAAGTAATTAAACTTAGATAACATAAAAATTCAAATTATAGCATACATTATAATGTTAATTTCATAGACATAAAGAAAATTGGTTTAATTAAAGTTTGAAAGTCATCTCAGTCTACATGTTTTTATATCCAACAAGATCACCAAAATATATCGTCACCATTAATAGGCATCTATTTAAATCAATAAGATAATATAACATACAATAACAATGTTACAATAAGTATGTTACAATTAAAGATTTTGCTAAATATAATGTTTTCCTTTCCTTAGAATACTGAAGAACTGCTTTGTATCTGTATTTTTCTTTTCTTCATTTAATAAAAATTTAAAAGGTGATACTAACTTTTCTTGTTAAGTTGATCACAGCACTTCTTGATCTGCTCATGATAATTCAAATACTCTGCTAAAGTATAGTCAACTGCTTCAACACCTGGTGTTGATAACATACTTTCATCAGCCATGAATGCAACTTGATCAGGGTATCCTGCTGCCAAAATGGCTACAAAAGAAATGAAAAGGAAAGGCATATATAGCTAGTTGGTTACTAAAATACTTAAACACAAAAACTACAGTCCTAACACATATATTATGAGCCTATTAACTCTCTGTATATGGGCTTAGTCATTTTAACTGACTAGTAATCATAAAACTACACATAACACTGAATGTACTAAATGTATCTTCATGAAATTTGGTAAGCTTTTAATAAATATTACAAGTCTGTTATACACACAAAAAAAAATATTTTTAATAAAGTATTTACTAAAGACTTTGCTGTGAACTTATGAAGCCTTTACTAAATCAATCTGAGAGAAAGTTGATTATCAAGATTATTTAATCAATTGGGTCATTTAACAATAAACAAAACTTATCATTCAAATACTTTTTAAATGTCAATAAAAGAAATTTAATGTTGATCTAAGTTAAGAATACATCAATAATAATGTACAAGTTATCAGTAATGCTGCCAGTTCAGTTAGAGGTGGACACTGAATACATCAATCACTGGGTTTAAACTAGTGGTAAAGCTGCCAGTGCAGTTAGAGGTGGACATTGAATACATCAATCACTGGGTTTAAACTAGTGGTAAAGCTGCCAGTGCAGTTAGAAGTGGACATTGAATACATCAATCACTGGGTTTAAACTAGTGGTAACGCTGCCAGTGCAGTTAGAGGTGGACATTGAATACATCAATCACTGGGTTTAAACTAGTGGTAATGCTGCCATTGCAGTTAGTAGTGGACATTGAATACATCAATCACTGGGTTTAAACTAGTGGTAACGCTGCCAGTGCAGTTAGAGGTGGACATTGAATACATCAATCACTGGGTTTAAACTAGTGATAATGCTACCAGTGCAGTTAGAGATGGACATTAAATAGATCAATCACTGGGTTTAAACTAGTGATAATGCTACCAGTGCAGTTAGAGGTGGACCTTGAATACATCAATCACTGTGTTTAAACTAGTGGTAATGCTTCCATTGCAGTTAGAGATGGACATTGAATACACCAATCACTGGGTTTAAACTGCTGGAGGGATTTAACAGATTGTGATAAAAGTTTAGATAAATGACCTTTACACTCCAGATCTAAATATATTTGTTTTTATTACTACTGTTACGTCCCTGGTCATTAGTTAATTTTCCGTAAAAATGCTTTCCGAAGAAACTTTAGCGATACAAGTCTTTTTCTTAAATAAAACTGGTTTATTCTTTCTGAATAAAACTTTGCAATACACTCAATTTCCACAGTCGCGCTATAACAAGCGCTATAATTCACAACGAACGTCTCATGTGCTCAACAATACGTCTTTCTCTGTCCGCAGTTCAATTACACATTGTTGCCGTCATATCTTGAGCGTCTTATATGTACAAGAATACCAAAATCTAGTAACCTCCCGACGCTTCATGAACGTTCTAGAAGCGCGTGACGTGTTACTAGCGTCACGTGACCTCTGCTGTCGTAACACTGCCCCTTCCTTAGTATTGTTCATCCCGAACAATAGCCACTTACATTAAACCAATAAACAATTAACAATAACTTAATTAAATGTACAGAATTTACAAACACAAAATTAAAATTCAACAAAGTCTCTTAATTTTACGAGACGTATCTTCTTCCATACTGGTCTCCGTCTCATTGGCTTCTGCTTCAAGTGGGGGTTCATCTGCTTCATCAGGAAATGTCCTATCATTGGTAACAGTCACATCAGTGGTAGTAACTTCATCAAGGGCTTCACTGTCTCCCTTCTCAAAATCGAGTAGAATTTCTTTTTCGACAGTGGCTTTTTCAGGTGACACGTCTTCAGCGTCACGTAACCTCTGCTGTCTTAACACTACCAACGTTTTGCTTTTACAGCTTCTAAAGGGTTAATACATACAAACTGTTTGATATTGAAGTATAAATTAATTTATAAAATTGATTGTGATGTTCCATCTCTCGAGTCTGTCACACGTGTCTCCAACAACGTGTAAAATATCATTGTTCTTTCATTATTGTTCTGATATAGTATACTTGTATTACGTAGCTATACTAACATGTGACAAATATTACTAAAATAAAATATAGAAATAAAGAGAAACGAAATATGTTTTATGATTAAATGAAGACACACCGACAGAAAATAGAAGTTGCTAAGAAACAATAGTACGTGGAAAGAATTTGAAATTTACTAGAAGTGTTAAAAACTAATTGTAAGACCGTGTGTTACTCCAGAGTAAGTGGTGTTTTGGTTACATGTACCATACATTGTCTCTGTTCATTTTATCATTAATGAGTATAGCTTCCATGTATTTTCTATCTCTAAAATCTTTGTTTTTTTGTAAAATACAAAAAAAAAACACAGAAAAGCAAGTCTTAAACTGGAAGTAATAAGTGTAAAATGTATTGTTGCGTATCTGCTCATTTTTAATTTCCGGTATAAATTCTTTCCGAGGAACTTCAGCGATACAAGTCCTTTCTTAATTAAAACTAGTTTATTCTTTCTCGATACAACTTTGTAATACACAGAAATTCCAACTTACGAACCTTTATAACACACGCTATAAATCACAGTGATTCACACATTTTACTTATGGTGCCTACTGTTCACTGGACTCAATTATCTCTATCTTCAATCTATCTGCATATCTATATCTCTTGAATCGTGCTGGTTTTACTCGCTAGGCTTATATACTAAAAAAAAGGGTGCCTGGCAAACACTCGGACATTCACAGGGTTCCTTGATAATTCCTGATCCTTCTAGAAACTCCAGCATGCATGCTCCCAGCATCGCATGACTTCCGCTGTCGTAACATTATTGATATAATTAGTTGTTTTGTAAATGGTGTTTTGGTTACGTGTACCACATATTGTCTCTGTTCATTTTCTTGTTAATGAGTATAGCTTCCATGTATTTTCTCTGTTTAAAATCTTTGGTTTTTTGTAAAATACAAACTTTAAATGGGTTCTGGTTTTCTGTGTTTGGGGATCCATGTTTGTGTAGGAAATGTTCTGCTGGAGTGGTTTTGTGTTAGTCATGTGTATGTAGCGCATTGATGTGTCTCCACATATAATACAAATGATTTTGACACATATATAGGAGAAACCGGAAAACCTTTCCACACATGCATCTTAGAACACATTTAAAGTTTGTATTTTACAAAAAACCAAAGATTTTAGAGACAGAAAATACATGGAAGCTATACTCATTAATGATAAAATGAACAGAGACAACGTATGGTACATGTAACCAAAACACCACTTACTCTGGAGTACCACACAGTCTTACAATTAGTTTTTGACACTTCTAGTAAATTTCAAATCCTTTCCACTTACTATTGTTTCTTAGCAACTTCTATTTTCTGTCTGTGTGTTTTCATTTAATCATAAAACATATTTCGTTTCTCTTTATTTTTATATTTTATTTTAGTAATATTTGTCACATGTTAGTATAGCTACGTAATACAAGTATACTATATCAGAACAATAATGAAAGAACAATGATATTTTATACATTGTTGGAGACACGTGTGACAGACTCGAGAGATGGAACATCACAATCAATTTTATAAATTAACGTATACTTCAATATCAAACAGTTTGTATGTATTAACCCTGAAGAAGCTGTAAAAGAGAAACGTTGGTAGTAACAAAAACATATATTTAGATCTGGAGTGTAAAGGTCGTTTAACTAAACTGTTATCACAATGGGTTTAAACTAGTGGTAATGCTGCCTGTGCAGTTAGAGCTGGGCATAGAAGACCAATATGTGGGTATTAATTACCAGTATTGCTGATCGTGAAGTTATAGCTGGACATACCTGAGGCTGTGGCTGGACCAACTCCCTTCAATGTGGTAAGAGCTGTAATAGCATTGGAGATGTTAGGAAGTTTTCGAAAGGCTTTTTTACTGGTCTGTTTGACTGCTGCTTCTGTGTTGATCCTAACAAGGTCCATTAAGCGAGGACGAAATTTTCCTCTCTAAACAATGAGAGGTGAAATAAAAACTTTAATATTTATTTAATTAATAATATTTAATTATTTTAGATTAATTTCAAGTGAAAAGTACTAGAATTATATGCCTTAATCTACTTGCTACGTATTTTATGAATGAAATGTTGGAACATCAGGAGGATGCTCCCTGTTACATGGTGTCAATTCATATATGAAAATCTTTTGAATTTGGAACTTAAGCTTCACACTTTCCTCAATAGTCAACATCCTCAACTTAGACTCTTTAGAAACCACAAAACTATTTAAAATTTTATAAAACTTATGTCTACTAGAATACTTAATAATTCAAGGTTTTTACATCCCAAGAATTAAGAGGGGCACAGTTTTGGTGAATTACACAACACATATTCTTTGCCCAACACAAACATGGGCTAGAATGCATTCAGAGCTCAGTTATTAACTAAATATTATCCTCTCCAATGCATTAACAATATTTTATGTTGAAGAAAATAAATAACAGTCCAACCTTAATTTAAAATGTTACAAAAGATGATTGTTGTGTGAACTTCCATGGAACAATGACCAAATGCAATAGTTTTCTTACAATGGAAATACATAGTCTCATTTACAATTCACACACTACACCCAAAAATCAATCAGGACCACAGATTGACACTGCACACAGAAATCAATCAGGATTACAGATGGATTTTGTAATCTTAAGAATAACTACATGAAGCTTTTTTACATAAACATACATAGCTAACCTTTAAAAAATACAAACATTTTTAATTTATAGATGATGACCTGCCAATGAAACAAGTTAATATTTCATGGTATTCTGTTACTTATATTGATACTTATACTTACACCAACTAATACATGACACATACATGTATCTTATACTTACACCAACTTGTACACAACACATACACAAATCTTAAATTTACACCAATTTGAATATGACACATACGTATCTTATACTTACACCAACTTGTACATGACACATACATGTATCTTATACTTACACCAACTTGTACACGACACATACATATATGTTATACTTACACCAACTTGTACACGACACATACATGTATCTTATACTTATACCAACTTGTACACGACACATACATGTATCTTATACTTATATCAACTTCTACATGACACATACATGTATCTTATACTTATATCAACTTCTACATGACACATACATATATCTTATACTTACATCAACTTCTACACGACACATACATGTATCTTATACTTACATCAACTTGTATACAACACATACATGTACCTTATACTTACACCAACTTGTACACAACACATACATGTAACTTATACTCAAACACAACATGTATCTTATACCTATACCAACTTATACATGAGACATAGATGTATTTTATACTTACACCAACTTCTACATGACACATACGTATCTTATACTTACATCAACTTGTACATGACACATACGTATCTTATACTTACATCAACTTGTACATGACACATACATGTATCTTATACTTACACCAACTTGTACACGACACATACATATATGTTATACTTACACCAACTTCTACATGACACATGCATGTATCTTATACTTACACCAACTTCTACATGACACATGCATGTATCTTA